TCTTGCAATGCTGACCCAACAGAAAATGATCGTCAGACTTAGTTTTTAAACTCTTTCAGTGCATTGTTTTGGTATTCTGGTCCGCACATCTTCTGTGTAGTCCAGCAGCTTTCAATAATACCCCATAAACCATAAATCCACTTACGAGCCGTTTCCCCCAAATATAAGTTAACTTTTCACTGTACTAACCCAACAGCACAAACAGTTAGGCATAATGACATGATTGCTGGTGAATATATAACCATTTAGCTACCAAATATTGTGTTCTCACTAGGTGGTGGAGACCAAAGCAGAGCTAAAATGATAGTGAAATTGGACTTTATTTTATCGTGTGGTTGGAAACATGTTCATGCTGTCAGTTGAGATCTATATTCATAGTTTCCAATGGCACTTTGTAAGTGTTAATATAAAGTAGAGCAATGACACTGGTACATTCTTTTTAAGGAGTGGCAAAGTACTTAACCAACCTTATAGTCACTTCTTTTTTTTACAGTTTTCAAGCATTTCCATCAGGAAATGGAGACAGATTTCTGCAGTACAGCATACCATAAATTATAAGTCCTCACATTTTTTTTGAAAACAGTATATCACATTTTATAAATACTTACTGTTTTGTCAGGTACTGTATAATGTTATTTTTTTGTGGGTTTATGTCCGTATGTTTTGGTGTATGAACATCCCTCAATTCCTTGTCCCAAAAGTTCTGCACAGCAACCGCCCCCTCACACACACACACACACACACATACAAACACTCTTGCTTCACACCGGCTTACCTCTCCTCTGTGCCCCACGTTGATGAAGGCACACATGGGCTGGAAGGCCCCGGTGCCACAGGCCAGGAGGTGGGTGCGGTTGTAGGGCTGCAGCAGGCGAACAAAGTTGGCACACTCGGTCTGTAAAACAAAGATACATACATACACACAGTTTAAAATATTGTCTCAAAGAACTATGGGAAGGGTACAATATGTTGTATCAAAAGTGTTGCTATGTCTGTTTAATGAAGTTCACTAAAACAGAGCTATGTCAAACGTATGTAGTTCCTGTTCTATGTGGTGAAGAAAATTATTGATTTGGATACTGACCCGACAGATAAAGAACCAAGTATAACTTACATGTCCCTTTATATAAAACAGCTGAAAACAATGAGTTTGCTACATTTTCATGGTATAGCACGATATTTCTGCCCAGACACATGATGTAAATATTCATTCTTGAACTCATTTTACATTAATGTACAGCACACACACACACACACACACACACACACACACACACACACACACACACACACACACACACACACACACACACACACACACACACACACACACACACACACACACACACACACACACACACACACACACACACACACACACACACACACACACACAGGGAAGGGCCCTTAAACTAATCAAATCACACGGTGCAAAGGTAACTGTCATCCAAATGTAGATAAGTTGATTTTCAGGGTACTGAAGAGAACCAGAATGATGCCTTAGCGAGGCTTATTGATCCCACATGTTCATAATGAAGGCCAAGAAAAGAGCTTTATTAGAAGAAATGTGATATCCTCAGTGTCCCACGTAGGGCTCATATCTCAGATTTTTGGATTCCAGCCAACGTGACATGCTGATGTTGTAAAGCAAGTTTCAACACAAACGGGTCAAAGGACTTTGTAAAGCATCAGAAATGCTTTGGTGCCAAAATAAAAATGTGAGGGATAATTAAATATGAAATGTTTTGAGTCATAAGGGATATGAAGACACCAACGATAACTCTGATTTTTAACTTGAATAATGAATACGTAACATACTGCTGTGTTTGCCGAGCTTAAAATGGAGACAGGCCTGAAATGGAAAGAAGGATATTCAAGTGGACAATGTCAAAAGGCCATACACTCAAACACACTTAAGAACAAACGAAGTGATGACTGAGGAAACAAGTATGGAGACGTTTCTGTACTAAACAGAGGTCCAGAGGAAGCAGAGGGCACGACTACTTCCTTCTTCGTGTCTGTAAAAGCAGCAGCTGACATAATGGGTGTTAGCGGGACAGAAAGGGATCGGCCGGTCGACATTCTCCCATGTGGACGAGGTCAAACTCATATCTGTATTGTGACTGTCTGGCTGTTCAACATGGGTACATGAATGGAGATGAGGTACATGTAATCAAATTGTGCATTGTTCTTTGTCTAAAAAAAGGGGAGGAATTACTATGCTAGTTTTCAGGGTTAGGGTTTCGATCAGCTTATGTTTTTAAGCCCAACTTCGAAAAAGGTTCAGTCTGCTCTGACAAAATATGGCATGCACCAACGTTTTGAGGTTGACTCAATAAGTTGGTGACTATACTCAAATGAGGGTTGGTATACGAGCATGCATGAGGCACACAAAGGGGAGCAAACTCTTAATGGCTTGTTGAATCTCCTGTTTTCCGATCTAGGCAGCTAACCAAAACTTTTTGGAGGGAATGCATAAGTACTAAATAACTGCGTTTTCCCGACTTTAATAAAATGTATTTTGTGAGATAATGACTTTTCCTTGATTTTGACGCATAGACATGTGCTTGTGTAGTAGACTAGTCTCTGTGTTTTTACAAGTGCATGTGTGTGAATGGGTCTAGTAAATCTGTCATTTTGTGTGTGGCCCACGTCCCTCTCAAACGCTCATTTCCTCGAGTGCTTTGCGGCGCTGCAGAAGATGTAAACCATGTTACTTCAGTACGAAAAATAGTTTACATCCACATTGCTCTTTCCTGCTGGCTCATTACTCCTACCCAAACAAAACCAGACCAGTAATAAACTACACATACAATTGCTTTTAAGTACATAAAAGGAGTATGTTGGAATCTCTTGTGCCAGTATGTTTCTGTTGAGGCAGGGGGATATTGATGAGCACATTTGACATTTTGTTTCCTTCTAATTAGTTACCCCCAAATCATACCCTGGAGGGAAATGTTAAAAGCTGGACTGTACATTAGGTCACAACATCGTTATAGAAGATATATGAGGTCTTTAAGATCCAAGTGGATTTAGAATGAATAGAATTATGTTACTCCTATGTTTCCGTTCTACTGCTCAGGGAGTCGTCTTAGAGATCTGTGTGGCCAAGGAGAGCGAAGAGTGGAATGAAATGTTGAAAAGAAGAAATATGCCTCTTCTCTCCTACTGTGGGATTTGGGGTTAAACGTGTCTGTGTGGTCTTTCTGAGATTAAGTGGCAATAAAGGGAGTGGTGGGTTAAACAGAATATGAAGTGGTTCGATTGCTAAATATGGTTTTGTCTCACTTGGCGATTTTAGGGAGTAGTCTTAAAATCGAGCCAAAATTTCAAATGGATTTTTTCAATCACTGCATTCATAGCCAATGTCATGCTGTTAGAAACAAAGGCTTGCTATGTTCTTTTGTAACCTTTTGAATATCAAGGGGATGTTGGCTGACCACAAATGCTCCTTCCTAGCGAAGCCAAGCTGCTGCTTCACACTGTTTCAACTTTTAAACTGACCACAGTGTCTTGGGGGTTAATAAAGGGTATGTATAGAATTGTAAACATCAAGTTATAACCACATTTGCTTTTAGACATATCTCCCATCAACATAAACAAACAGGAACATTACCAAGACCTCTGGCAGCCTCTCCTGGCCTTGAGAAATTGAAATACTGAGAGGATTTCCAAAGGATTATGCTGATTTTGGCGAATACAACAGGAGGAGAATGTGCGTCCAACAAAAGTTAATTTGCATATGAAGGTGTGGAAAAATAACAGCTAAATTAATTCCCATGTTACAAACAATTGTACTGCCGGTTGAGTAAACATTTCCAGTCCAATGGTTTGATTAAAAGTTTATTTGACATCTGAATATGGACCCTTCCAACATATGTTTTCCAGATATTTGAAAGAAAAAAACGTTGGCTGCTGTAGCAGAGAAGGTGGAGACAAATGTATTTTTCAAGACATAAAAAAACTGTCTTATGGTAAATGTGGTCTTTATTTTGAGAAAAATAATATGAGCAGTAACAGGCTACAAATCATTTTCAATATAGTATGAATTGTTTAACGTAAGTATAACCCAGCATCATAAGTTGGCAGAGACACATTCATGATATGTAATTTGTAAATGTAATCAGGAAATGTGCTCAAGGACCAGGAAAATATCTCTCATACTATTTCTCTTCCAAGTTTATCCAGGACAGGCTGACAGTTCTGAACTCTGCACCTCTTTGCCACATCATCGAATACACGTTATTGATATTACTGTAGATTAAACAGGGTTTGCAAAAATAGTGCACTGATGTAACCCTAATAAGGACCTAAAGGGGAAAATGGCAATGTCATATAAGAACCAACTAACTGACTAAGAGGTAACGTATTATATTCTCCTCTCCTCTTTTGTTGAATGCCAATGTTTTTTTGTTTTAAATCTGAAAGACTAATTCTGATTTGCCAGAGTCGGAATCATCCACAAGCTAGCACTGTTAATGGCGATTTGGGAAAACCCAGCTTTTGGTTCTAGTACATCAACATAGCATGTTATCCTAAAACAAAACAAAAGAGAAAAGTAAAGAGGAACAGAGGAAGTTTGGGCCAAAATGTGATAGTTTTACTTGAAATGACTTCACTTTCTTGGTCGCAGCCAGTTTGTGAGCAAAGTGGAAGAGCTAACATGGAGCTAACAGCAAGGAGAGCTGCAGCTGCTCAGCATGTTCTGTGACGAGTGACCCGGGCAGGGAGAGGCAAGTTTGGAAAATGGAGAGCAGTTTCCAGTATAAACAGCCCATGTTCAGTGGAGAGAAGTCTGATTCTATAATACTAACAGGAAATGAGGACCAACAAATTCACATTTACACACACAGAACACACACACACACACACACACACACACACACACACACACACAAATATGCACTTGTACAAGGCTACAGTCAACTGGATCCAATACACAAACACAATCACAAACACAGAAATATCGTAAACGAAGTTCAAAGCCGGACAGCTGGATGAAGTCTTTGGTGTCAGCAGTTGTTTGATCCTCAAATAAACATGTTTTCTACTCTCCACTGACTTCCAGACAGCACTGAAAACACTCAGTCATGGCAAGAAACTGTTGCCAAAGTGCGTGAGAGGATTTCCCCGCAACATATACCAGCTACTCCCACCATGCTAAACAGTCGAATAATTATTTTAGGATTCCAAAAACTAAAAAAACGGTCACCTACTTGGCTTTCTAGCGTAAGAGCTGCAACCAACCGTAAGCAACATTTTGGCATTGGAAACAGACCACACTGTGTCTCTTTCCTTTGCGGCATTTCTTTCATCAATATTAAAAGAAGCTGCTGTGTCTCACCAAATCTGGGCTCTAAATACAGTATAGCTGTTCTTTGATGTATTATACCAGTATAAACAGTAACACATCACATTTTGTTATGGATGGGAACAAACATAATGTACCAATGCACAAGTCAATATAGAGAATGACTGCATAGTGCAACTTCAATAGTTAATGATTTAGTTCATTTTGTTGTCAACAGGAAAATGGTTTTAAGGATTTCTGCTGCTTCTGAACAAACTTTACCATACTTTTGTTTTCCTACAGTACTGCAGGTACCAAATTGCCTGGCCCTTTCTCTCCAGTCTGCTACCCAGCAGTATTACCTATAACAAGTGTAAAGATATAACACAAAAAACACGGATTCTTTAGGGCTCTTTTATAAAGTCAGTCTAAATAAGTATTCTTGTTCCAACTATTACTCTGTGTTTTCTAATCTCTAAAGTCTTCTTTGAGTTTTGGAAAGCTCTAACAAATCAAACGTACTGTACTATGTTTAGGATTTAAAAATATTACATTCATAGACAACTATTTATACCAACATTTATAGTTGGTAAGACATGGACACAAACCTCTGACCTTAAGACGTATTGCTGCAGTATAACTTCTCTTTTTGTTGCAGTACAGTCTCTCACCTCCCTACACTCAGACACCAAAGATTCAAACTAAAGTGGAACCAATAACAGCTCTACTGATAAAGCCAAACCATGAGGGGAGGCAGATTACTGGCACTATCCAGCTTGTCTGTAGAGAACAAAACACAGAACTAAGTGTACAAACCAGTGCCACAATGTCTCATTTTGTTTTCTCAAAGCCGTATTATTCACACTCAAAATGGTTGATTTGTTCCCTCTGCTATCCCCGTTCTACGCCAGCAAAGTTTTGTTTGTGGTAAAACCCTCTGCTTTATTATGTAACACAATTGCACAGCATTAGAGATGGAGGAAGCAACAAGCTGATTAGATAATCGACCCAATTATATGCAAACAATGCCGATCGAAGCAGAAAAATGTGTTAACAGTGAGAGCAAGACACTGCATGCTCGGGTGAATTCACTGAGTGCCTCCCTTCAGCCTGTTATTGGTCCGAGCTGTAATTAATGATGGAAAAGGTCACGAGGTTGCGACTCTGGGAGGGAACGCTGTCATTGGATACAAGTTTAAGGTGGTAGACACTTGTTAGAAGGCTGTAAAGACATAGGCTTTCATTAAAATGTAAACAAAAAGGACCGCTTTGCTTTTTTTTCTTCTCACTTTTAATGTCAAGTTGTGATATTGAGATAACAAAGACGTTCATGTGCTTCATGGACCGGTAATGTTGCTCTCCTTCTTTCTGTCTGTCTCTTTTTTCTCCATCATCAAACACACACACAAACGTCCAAAAAAACAATGTCAAGACCTTTCACCTTTCAACAGCAAACATATGAGATGAAACATATGTGTGTGCCGTGTGCGTGACTTTTGCTTTGTAGATGCCAGAGGATACAGCAGTAATCAATCTGATTTGACACCTGAAAAACTCTGAAACATAGAGACGTGAAGGAATGCAGAAAGATGCCGAAAAACATATCTATCTGTTACTCAATTACACACACACACAACGTCTTTATGACTCCTTTGGCACTTGTAAGGTAGAGTTACTCACATACTTCTTTAAGACCTGTCTAATAATGCAAAGTGACTCCTCTCCGCTATGGACAGTAAGCCAATGCACACATAGTGTCGTGAAAGCCAAGCGCAGAGGAAACACCTAATAAAACTGATATAAGACACCCAAGACACACCTGCCACTTCAAACACAGAGAGCATATTCCCTTACATTATAGACACACACACACACACACACACACACACACACACACACACACACCTTTTAACCCGTTCCAGATGGCGCTAGCTGTCCGATTTATGCCAAGGCGGCACAAAAAGTCACAGACCTATAACAACGTGTACAACAGTGTCTTCATCTTGTGTGTGTGTTTGGGTGAGTGTGTGTGTGTGATTTACTATATGTGTGTAAACCAGTAATTAGGGCAGGTTTATGTATTCTGTGCACCACTAAAGCCACTGAGAGCTTCTTCTCCAACTGGGACCAAATTTAACGACGTCTCAGTACATCAAAGAAAAGAGAGTTCATTACAAAATATCTTCCTTCCCTTTTCATTTTATTCGGCATTTATTTTCCTATTTCCTGTCCGTTTTTTTATTATTGCTTGCTTTATGATTTTCAAGACTTTAAGAGCCTTACACTGCCCGAGTGTAACGTGTTAGAATGCTAACCTATGATAATTATCACTATATACAAAGTACAGTACAAAGATGTATCTGAGATACTATGTTATGTACCAAAGTATTGAACATATTTACATTTGCCCTAAGAATGGTGATTATAAATGGGATCACAACATTGCAAGGCATTCCATCCTACAATGGTCAAAAACATTTCACTGGCCAATTTTCAAACCTCAAGGTAGCACTGGATCAGCACCCAAGAGATCAACAGACACAATAGGCGTCATCCTCTGGGGACCATTACATGTTTGAACAAAATATAATGGAAGTCAACCAGGAAGTTGTTGAGATATTTCAGTCTAGTCCAAAGTGGTGGGCCGACCAACAGACTGGCATTACCATACCTAGAGTGACACTTCTATAACACATTTCCCCTACATTACCCTCTTTACCTCACTAAATATCTTTCTTTCCTGTTAACAATGTTTTAACAACATTCTCTTCCCCTTCTCTCTCTGAGCTACCTTATACCATATTTTAACCACCTCCAGGCTAACAAACATAAAGCTGAGTCAGCATACTTGAAGGGGAACGACTCAAGGTACCCTGGTCACTGGTTCCATTCAGTATGTGTTTTTCAAAGCTGAAACTAACATGTTTTCTTTCTTTACATTAGCTTCAGAATCATCCTCTCCTCATATATCTTGTCTTAAACATGATCGTAATAAGATGGCCTCTGCCCTTCCTTTGCTTTTTCTCTTCTTCAATTTGTACTCCCTCACAGAACTAATGAAATCCTTCATTCACTTACATTTACAATTTGCTTCTGAAAGCTTTCTATGTCTCTGCACCTCTCTTTCCTTTCTCTCCATGAATAAAACAATGGCCTTTTTCATAGCAAAGTAGTTGATAGCTTACGGAAACATTTTAGGGGATGTGTGGGAGCAGCGTGGCACCAACTTGTCTAACTATGCCATTAACTTTAAGCTTAGTTTGTAAATGCTCAAGGCACATTCTGCACTCCCCATCACCACATCTGTGATAGAGCAGATCCACAGAGCCAAATAGAGATGGACGTGGAAACAGGATTCAGCTGATGAGTAGTCAAAATCACGGAAAATCCAAAAACCGCCTTGACAAGCTATGGTTTGGAAGATGCTCGTGCCATGCTGAGAGCAGCTTCTCTGAATTCACTGGAGGCATTTTGGCAAACAGTATAGAACTGCTCAACAGCGTAGGTCAATGCAGTCTCCTAGTTTATGGAAAAAGCTGGGTCTGTTGGGTTTATTTTTGACAACATTGTAATATGTTTCAGTAATTGGAAACAGGGATGAGAATTTAAATGGAGACACCAATACTGGTGGAAAGAAGACAGGCAGACTGTCAGGCCATGGGCAAATACATTCAACAATCAGCAAACAGAGAGGACATTGGCAACAGAGTTGGTTAAAGGAGAGGTGTCATGGCCATTTCCACTGATCATAATTCCATTGTTGAGGTCTACTAAAATAGATTTATACTGTGCATTTTTCCAAACTCACATTGGTTTCTCATACAGCATCTCTGTAAACTACGTGTATTCACTGAATTTCACTCTCTGCCTTTAACGGCTCGTTGTAGCTCCAATAGCTCCAGCCCCCACCCTCCCTGTGAGCACAGTGTGCTCTGATTGGTCGGGACGTTGTGAATCGCGCTGAGCTCCGTGGAGGTGTTGTTTCCTTGTTTAGGATACATAGCGAAACACAGCCAAACTCATCCTGAGCACACACAAACTCACATCCGAAGTAAAAACAATAAGTGTGGCTTGATATTGAGTAAGAAAAAGGTTGATAAACGCTGTGAGAATGGGTCTGCAGAGAGAATTTTGCCGCAATCCCAACTGTCTGTTATCAGCCTGCAGCCAGGGAGGAGAAATCAGCTGAGCTGCCTGTGTGTGAGGAAGTCCGTGGATTGGTCAATTTGGACCAATCAGCGGGGGCTTAACATAACGGCTCCACGGATTGGTCCATTTCGTTCCGGGTATGGCTTGACATCATGCCGTCCCGGAAGAATCAAATGGACAATGACGTATCTCCAACGAGGCGTTTTGGGGAGGTATTTTCTGTGTTAGAGTTTTACTCGCTACAGGGTGTACTTTGAGGGTTTTGACTCTGCACACCGTTTACATGCATAAAAACCTTCATAACACACAAGGGGACGGGTAATAACCGGAAAAGCATGACACCTCTCCTTTAAGTACTGGCAGGAAATATCTTTTGTCTGCTACAGAAACAAAGCAACTGACAAACAAAAATGAAAACTAGCCTCTGACTACAAGCTTTTTACTTCAAGGCTTTTAGCTAATGAGAAGCAGTTGGTAGTCTGATTTCTAGGTCAGGTGATTTCTGGACAATAGGAACTGGAAGACATGTCAAGGGCAGGTAACGCAGAACACGGTATTAATTAACTAGTTGGGAGCATTCATTGTTTAATATATTTTTCTAGTTATTGTGCTTTTTATCATGTTTTTAATTATTGTTTTATTATTGTACTCCCATTGTGTTATTTAATATGTATTGCCTGTACAGCACTTTGGTCAACTGAAGGTTGTTTTAAATGTGCTATATAAATAAATAAAGATTGAGATTGAGATTGAACATGGCAACCCTGTAAAATACGAGTTGAATTACATTCTCAACTACATTTTAAGAAAAGCTTATTTCTCCTCCTGATTTCGGTCGCAGTTTCAATGTGGTTTGTGTTGTAATCAAAGCTCTTTGCTAAGGTTTAGTAAAAAGTCATGGTTTTGGTTTAAATAAGCTCATTTGCTATTGACTTGAACTACATACACATTTTAGTAAGGGATGAAAACGTACCGTAAAAATAAGTCTACTTGACATATAATTTTACAAAGAACAGCATCTCCTGGGTAAAAGTCCTGATTGAGATTGATCTCCATCCATCCCATCACTGATCTCCCCCTACGCAGACTTTAGCCAAGACTACTTGGTATATTTTTCATGTATAAAATGTGAACAGTTAGGGAAGAACATTTGTCCCTTGAAAGCTAATTGACAACAGAGTGTCAATGTATGGTAAAGTCATTTTTAGAAGACCAGGATGTTTAATAGAAATTGTTAAAACAAGCAGGAATTAAAAGTCAGTCGGTTACCTGCGGTTCCTTTCCCGTCTGAATGCATTCCTCTCTATTGCCGGGTAACGGGGGCCAGTAAATCTATGAAGGAAGAGAAAAGGAGAAGACAAAGAAGATGTGTGTGATGATTAATGACCTCATAACTTTAAAGTAATGCAAACATCCAATATATTCAACTGTATTGCAAAATGTAATTGCTTTGTTGAACTCATAAAGGCTTTATTTGACTCTGTTGATGCAATCAAAACAGAATAATCAGCCCATGTGTTGTTAAATCTGAATTATTTCCCCTGAAAATTGAGCTGAGCAGATGCTCCACATATGATGAAACAGAGGTTTTGGAATCAAGAGCCGAGGGCTTGGACGCTTGTAAAGCCAAAACCTTGATTGAGACACGACAGACACATTTGTCATTACAGTTCTGTAAAAGCTTGGTTCATCCAAATTACAGAGGAAAACATAGCATACCTCTAGGGTTGCCAAGCTCATTTATTTTGTATTTGTCTATGTTTTGTGATAATCTGTCACTGAAATTCTGCCTCCAAATGAACACATTAGGGGAGAACACTAATCACATCTGGAGGCAGATGTGTATCTTAAAACCTGAACAAATTAAACCTGAGATACATCTTCGTTCTTTCTATCTTTCCATACAATTTACCAATCCTAATTGGACCCTAAATTGTTTTTTAACACATTTAAATATGAACTCAAACATACAACATACAAAACAGAAAAACAAGGAGTGTTTTTGATGTTATGAAAGACTTTAAGGGAGTTAATGTAATAATGTTGGCTTAAGAGACCTTCGGTGTCCGTCTTCTGTTTTGTGCCTAGAAATGAAACTCAACCTTTGGCTATAAACAAGCAGAACATATGTGCTCAGCCAAACGTACAGAGTATCCTAACAAGACCATCTGTGGTTTCTAAAAACAGTATGAATAAATAATATGCCTTTCCATTTTTAACTCAAGTTCTCACAGAATAGATCCACTATTTCCTTCTGGGGAAAGTCCCAAAGTCTTCCTCTCCTCCTGCCAATTCAACAACAAGAAGAAGTGGATCTCAGAGAAGCATGAAATATAATTTGGACCAAAACAATTGGAGTGCTTTTCACATTGCTTTTGGAAAATGAAAAATGAAATCAAATTGCCACTGAAGAGGAAAGCCCAAGTCTTTCTACGTATTGAGTTGATGATGTGGGATATACTGTAGGATTTCTCTAAGACAATAAGTCTTTGTCTGGAAACTGGCTTTGTTTTGGCTAACAGGGAGAAAAGAAACCATATGATAAAACAAATGGGCCTGACTTTCATTAGTATGTCTGCTTATGTTCGGTGTATTGGGAGCATGTGTGTGGCAAGAGGCCACTGTGGTATCTATAGGATTTAAAGGAGTGTGAAAGGTAAGTGATAAATGATATAACACAAATAGAGAGTTGTAAGCATGAGTGACAGTTTCTCCTCTTTTCTCATCACACCCTACATTTCACAACAGCAGTAGAGTTCAGGAGGATTTTGTCTTAACTGTTATGAATCCTAATGCATCACAGACAGTGCACTTCTTGTCATGATAATTGAAACCTGGATCAAAGAGTTTAAAATATCCTGTCCTGTAATAAAAATGATGTGACATTTAAGAGCCTGGAATTATTTTTAACCTTAATGTAAATGACATGTATTGCACTGCAAATGAAATGCACACTGTATAGTAGATGAAATATAACATAGGATAGATCAAATTGAGTCTGTATTGAATTTGCTAATGGTGATGCAGACTGCCTATTGGCTCAACAAAGGGTATTTCATATGAACTACAGTAGGGGTGGAAGTACAAATATCTGTCTATAGACGTACAGCCTTGAAAGGCTCAAACCTGCCTAGTTGCACACAGCATTTTTCTATGTATTTTCTCACTCATATATATATATTTTTGCTTCATGCATGTTAATAGGTCTTCTTTAAATCATCAAATACACATAACATTTTCAAATTGTGTTTTCTTTTCGTGTAGTCACACAACAAACAACACACAGAAAGTGTGTTGTACTTTATAAGGAATATTTACGAGATAGGAAGAGTGATAGCACTCTCTTAACAGTTCAGTAACTTAGCGTACTGTATTAAAAACTTTAAAAATAACAATTTATTGGTGTCTGGGAAGTTGTGTACTACAATATTTGTTGCTTGGGACCAGTAACTGCCTGGGGTCTCCACTGATTGCATTGCCTCAGGCAATTATAGCTGGACACTTAACTTTATTTTTATTTTTTGTATAGCTTTAGAGGTGCCAGCAGGCTGAATTTATTTCCATTGGAATTGGCCAGACTGCTTTTATACTCTTTTGTATTTTAAGAGAACATCTTAATTTAACTAGGTTCCTTGCTTCAAGTATTTCCTATAGTGAGTTAAATCAGCAAAGATTTGAAACTACTGCAAACGTGTTTTTTATAGACAGCAGAGTCACCTTTGCACCATCTGATTGTCCGACATCCAGCCTGCTTTTGTCTAAAACCTGGCTTGCAAATGTGGGAAACCATTAGAATTAATCATTTGTTTCATGCCTGACTGAAATTAATAAATAACTCAGTGCTGATCGAAAGACTTGGCTTCAACGGGTCATGATCTCTGGACCGGTTTCTTTGGCATGATGCTGTACTGATATAAATGCGTGCCTGTCGAAAAGCTTGGCTCACATACACAATCTGATCGAAGGTATTCTGATAGCATACCTCACTGATACTGATAAACTGTGAAATCACGCCTTGCTCAAAACATGGGTCAGAGTACTGCGATATTCCATCTATCGTCCAAGAGTCTGGCTCCACACCCTCAAGGAAATATGGTTTTACTCCAACAACCATCCACGTTCCTTCTCTGTTTAACTGTTTCCTGACACTTCATCAATGTAAAGTGTTCTTTAATCTTTATTCAGCAGTCACACATAATTAACGTTTTTACCTGTGGAAAAATCCATCCAGGAAACAAGACTGCCAAGCAGAACGGTCGGGAACAATCAAACGTAAAATGTTCCTAACTTTGAATTGCCTGTGAAACTCATTAGTTCAAGACACAATACTTTAAAAGTCAGCCAATATCAAAGAACTACATACATCATCAAATATTGTATTTGTTTATGTGCCTGCTGCTAAACAATTATTATTATTATACTTTACATTTCTCAGTTCAGATTATACCAGCTGAACCCCTGGCAAACTTGTTTTTCACTGTAAAGGTAAGGAACATATTTCAAATAAATGTATGCCCTGTGGCCATGAATGTCACAATACATGTAACTCTGGGACCTCTGCTACTGTATGTGGCAACATCATGCAGATATAAACTGACATAAGCAGATTCTTTTCAATTTTTCTTGAATCTGTTGGAACTTTTGCACAAAACCATATGCCTTCTTTGTCAGCTCAGTGTTGCTGAGCCAACGCAACATTTGGCAGAAATAGACAGTATGAATCATGGGATGTAATGAGTTTGGACTGAAACATTGCATGAACTCTTAAATCCAAAAATACTAAAAAATAGTCCCTGGGGAGAAGGTTTGAATTTCAACACGAGCTAAGTTTTGATCAACACGTCGCTTTTCAAATTGTATTATTTTGAGGCCAAAAGGATTTTTCTAGCATTAACCTATGCTAAGCAAGCTGGGCCAGAAGCCATCAACATCACCAAAGAACACTTAAACAAGATATACCACATGTAAGTAAACACTGAGCAAAGTAAACCAGCTGGATGAACATGAGGAAATGTAAACCAACATTTCATATACAATAATTAAAGATGACAAATATATTCCAATCATAGCTGTTTATGTTCTAGGGGACGGTGAAGTGGAATATTTACTCCATTATATGATACATTTGCATAAACTGAATCACTATTTGTTAGTCTTTTCCTGGGTAATTATCATTAGGCAAAGTGTTCCACTTCCCAGATTTAATTACATAAGAACTGGTTCCAGTTTGAGCAGAATCACGTTTGGTGCAATGGTCTAACCAAAGCAAGCCAAGCCTTATTCCCATTTGAGATTTTACTACACTGTTGGTCAGAGTTATAGTGAAAAGGGGAGAATAGGCTTTTTATGCCGAAGATATATTGTAAGCTCGGGTAGTCAAAGTCTGAGCTAGAAAACTACAAGCTAGTCTCATTTCACAGCAGCTTTGTTCTGGTTTTGAAAACTTTAAACCTGTTTCTAAAAGGTTAGCATGTTCATCAGCTGCAAAGTAAGAATTGTGGAAATATATGCGATACATAAAACGTTTGTTATCTGATCTCAATGGATAAATGTCAATCAGATGACATCATTAGTCGCATATAATTGTTTACTTATTTACTTTCTTTCCAAAACTGAGATGATAAGATCAATTCACAATCTCATTATGGTGCGCTAAGTATGGTACTGAAGCTAAGACGTGGTTAGCCTAGCTTAACATACTGAACTGTAAAGAGTAGAAGTAAGGCTAACAATTACCCTTTCCTAAATATCTGCTGGCACTTTTAAAGCTCATTATTATTATTACTATTTATTACATGGCTTAGTTGAATACTCGATTCTGATTGGTCAATTCAGAACACGTGACACGTTGTTAATCCAGAACAGACAGACCGCTGTCAAGGATTTATTGACCGTTGTTAAGGACGCTCACATCTGCAGAAAGAAGTTCGGTCGATTTAACTACAGTTTGGGCCGAAAAGCAAACTGCATGCAGATCAAGATCACTCCGCTTCGCGTCGGGCTCCTGAACAGCCTGTCGGGTGTTCTTTTCCCCATGATGACCGCCTCGCTGCACATTATCCCTTACATGTTGGTTCATGTTTTCTGTATGGTTTTATGGTGGTTTGTGATGTTGGCATATTTTGAACTTGCATAAGGGAGAATGTAAGGTTAACTGTTTCCTATTGCTGCTTGTCATTTTGCTACGTTTTGACGTTTGGCTCTTCTTCATCTGCCTTCCAGTTTTTAACATTGACCTTAGTTTTCAATTCAACAAGGCAAACAGTTTATATTCATTTTGTTCTTTCTCTTTTCACGGTGAGCGGTGGTTTATGGAAAATTCGGCAGATGTGTGTCATCCTGTAAACCTTTGTTTCATTGAACTGGCATCGTGGATAGATTTCACAATGACTGGCTCTGATAGAAGCCCGGGCATTAAAGGCTCTAACAGCTCACCGTAAACTGGAAAATCAGAAAGCCTCATGTGTGAACCTCAGCCAAGACAGAATGCAGTGAGCATTAAAAAGAGAACAAGGTGGGCTACATCTGGCCCTCTGTTTATATAAATTCCCTGTTCACTTTGTGTCATCACAGTGTCTTTGACCCATGTATAAGCACAGACACACACACTCTAATGCACACACACATACTGCTGCTCTTAGCTAAAGTGCTGCAGCACACCAAGGATTTCTGTAGGAGAGAGTTATTTATGTTCTGCTTACTAAAAACTAGTTCAATGGAACACAGAGTGCATCAAGTGCCCTAGTGGAAATAAAATATAAATGAATGATATATATAATATAGAACATATGGTCTCAGAAATATAATTTCATGGATAATTTGCTCATTTCCCTAATTCTAATGCCTTCTAATAAATGTCTGAAACTCATAAGATACAACTCAAATGTCCCTCAAATCACAGTAAAACTTATATCGGTATAATCTGTGCCACTGAATACATTTGACTAAATATGAATTCAAACTTTATATTAGATAAATTCGATTCGATTTTCCGATAATTGTTAACATACTTGTATCCACTGCCAAAGCATAATAAACCTTATTTAAACAGTTACGTTTCAAAACCAAATATCCAACATCTGCTACAATGAATAGCACAATAACATTCTTCTCTCTCTTTGTAATTCAGAGTCTCAATGTTTGATTACAGTGAAAATGTGCAGGTCTGCAAATAGATCTGATATTTTGAATTAAAAAAATTTCCCAAATTGGGATCAATAAAGTACATATTTTCTTATCGTAATTCATCTCTCGTGTCTCTCTGGCGAGCCAAATAAACTGTTTCTCCTGCAGTATAATCTCTGTGTTGGACAAGCTTCAGTGAGAAAATGTATTTACAGATCAAAACATGGGATTGTTTATATTAGAACATCCCTGTTCAATTAACAATATCTAGAGGTTCAAATTCAATAAAAAGTGCATTTATCCACACATTTCAATGTATAGTGTACATGTAGTCAATTGATATGGGAAATCAAAAAAAGGAACCAAGGAAACAGGTGTGTGATCTATTCCTTTATATCATTTTTTCCCCTGAAGACTGACTGTCTTTTTGTTTAATATTATCAGAACTGAGTTATGATGCAACAGCAGCAATAAAAAATAAAATGGCTGTTCATGTTTGAGTCACAACGTTTATGGCTGATTTATGAGGTACCGAGTGCTTTCACAGATGTTTTGCAAAGAGGGAATTCTGGAAAAACACCAAATGGTACGCCTATCTCTTCAAGTCATATGTTATCTTCGACAGATTGAAACCACTTGAACAGTCACTGCAGTTTAAATCAAAGCGGAATGATGAATGTCCACTGTGCGGTAACTAACCTTTTACAAAACATCAATCACCAGAGCAGAATTAATCAAAAATAACTGATGGATTTACTATTTCCCCAAAGCTCACCTCTTTGGACTCGCTGCTGGTGGGTCCCAGCAGGAGAGAGTACAGGATGTCTTTCCCTCCTAGGAAGAGGCGGTCCCGGTACTCATCGAGGAAGACGGTGGTAAGAGAGAGCTGGCCGTGGTGACCGCTGAAGATAGATGACCTGTTGGTGGACAGCAGGTCTGCAGAGAGAAAGGGGAACATGATGAGCACAAACATATAAACACATTTCCTCTTACATCAGTTTTTGTCAATGCTCTTTTCACAAAACCAAAATTGTTTCTTTTTAGCAACAGCACAAACATCCAAGCAGGGGGGGGGTCAAACAGAGAGAGCAGTGATGAGTTGAAAGTTAATATAGCGATGACACATCGTTTTTTCTGCTCCCTGAAAGGCTTCATCTCTGATGGGTTTAAAACATATTTTGACATTGAAGCCTTCGTGACTATTGGTTGTTGGACCTTGGTTTAATCATTTGACCAGGCTGTCTTTAATCTGACAGCAGACAGTTTACTTTTGCTTTATTGGAAGTGATGTGTAATTTTCTCTACAGTAAAGCAATAATCCCATGAGGAATCTGCTTGTAACATCGCCTTTTGTTCCACTATCCAAATAGGATGTGTCTCCAAACGTACTCTTGTTGCTGCTGTCAACACTTCATTCCTGCACATTAGAGGATGTTACCAGAAAAGATCTACAGCACCACCCAAACAGGAAATGTAAAACATTACTGATTCAAAATATTTTCATAGAATTAAAATAATGCATACAAATCAAAAACATCAAATACATCAAGAATTGTTTTTGGATGTTAAGATGCTAAGGAATCTGAGAACATCTACTGGTGCCTGAAGTGTATGAATTTATGAGCACACACACACGATACACACTCCCATATTAGATAACATGTATCAGTAGGAGAGCAGGAGTCCATCTGCACCTGGCTCTCCTCTCCTCTCTGCCAGAAGCTTCAAAGTCAAAAGTAACAACTCTGCAGGAGTGGTAGAGACCGGGTTGAACACAAGTTCAGCCAGACACGGGTGGCACACACACACACACACACACACACACACACACACACACACACACACACACACACACACACACACACACACACACACACACACACATACACACACACACACACACACACACACACACACAGACACATTCAGCAAGATTGCTGCTTCAAGGCCTCCTTCAGCTTCCAAAATCTTCCACTATCTCAAACAAACTTCTGTTACATCAGAGCATGCTCCTCCCAACTCTTCAAAGACAGTGACCCTACAGTACACGTCAAACAAGGACGCTCCAAGTACAGCTCTGGGGTCAGTTTTAAATGTAATTGGCTCTATTGGCTATAGTAATTATGACCCAAGTGAAGGGGGAAGTCGGGTGACAAAGCATAACGAGCTACAAAGTCCAGAGAAAGTCAGAGTGGATGGACAGATCTAACAAACAATTTCCACTTTCCATGTCCTGTGTCAAACCAAAACTCAACAATGACTTAGTTTAACTTATGTACGAAAGTTTACTTATGTACCTTACTTTCCTTTTTCTCGTACCAAACCACAGCTACTTAACACAGTTATTTAAACCTTAACCACAATCTTTCCCTTACCCTAACCAAGAAGTGACATAAGTCAGTTTTATAACAAACATATTTATTGTAAATCAAACATGATCTATTCTGAAACCTAACCAAAAAGTGTGTTGCCTGATCATAACCCATTATAACACAAGTAACGTCCTGTACAGTATCTCATATAACGTTAACCACTTGTGGAAGTCTCTCGGAGTACCCTTCACATTAAAAAAATAAAGCTGAAGGGGGTACCTAGTGCTTTAAGTTGTCAAAAAGACCTGGCAAGCTGCCGTGTTTGACATATTGGGAGTGAGAACGTGTTGGTTATATGTGCCTCTCATACCTTCCCTTCATGACACTTCTTCTGCATCACCTCTCTCCCTCTCTCTCTGCGTTGGTAACAAGATGAGGAGTGAAATACGTTTGTGAGAAGACGTCTTCGGTATGCCAAACTCTCAGTGGAGCAGTCTTTCAGCTGAATTGGTTTTCCATCTACCTCTCATCACTAGTCTCAGTTTTTCCTCTCTCTCCTTTTCCCTCGGCCCAACACACACTACCTCACACACACGCAGTGAGAAAGTAGGCTCAGTCACTCAGCACTCAGCGAGGGTATTGACTGAGTGAAGCACGGGGGCCTCCTGTACCAGGGACACCTTGTCCATCACTGGGGCCTCGCAGACACACTGATGATCTGTTTTTATTAGACATCTCCGTTTCTCCAACTCATAAGCTTCCACAAACACACACACACACACACACACACACACACACACGCACACACACACACACACACACACACACACACACACACACACACACACACACACACACACACACACACACACACACACACACACATTCAAACAGCCTCACTCTATAGATCACCCTTATTACCTAAACCTTGGGGAGAGCACTTTCAACAGGTTAACACATAATGATGTTTTCTCTGTGTATATACTCCCTAATAGGGTCTTAACAGCAGCCAAATCAAAACCTGACCTACTCTGGTGAAACTCTGTCCTCCGCTGAGGCCGACCCACGTTGTAGCTTGTAAATTGTTGTTACACAAAATCCTCTGAAGACAATGAAAAGGGGAATAATTTTGTAAGAAATAAAAGGCTGTTTGCAAGAGAATAACGAGGAGACACAGGAGTGGGAACACATCAGGGATAGTGTGTAGGGCAGGAGGGAGTTGAAGGAAGTTAGCTAAACACAAGATAAAGATAGAAATGGAAGGGGGGGAGGTGTTTTGGCTTTAGCAGCTGGTAAAAGTCCGAAAATAATGAGTAGAAACAGAGAAAGGCAGGCACAGAAAGCCACGAGACAGTAAGAGAGCATTGATGTGTGATGGATTTATTGGAACTGACAAGGTAAGCATAAAACGTACGAAGCAGAAGGAGAAGAAAAGCTTCAGTATGTTTTACATTAGATCTGTGCCATTGCATCATACACATTTCATACCAAATGTGAAATTCGACAATGAGTGTTTGACGATAGCCAATTAGTTATTTAGATAGAAAGCGAGTTAACACTCAGCACAAATAAAACATAAACACCAACGCACTGACAACACGTTTATGTATGTACAGTAGAGGCCAGATGTTTCAGCTGGAAGGCAGTATTTATGATGACAGCGTAACAGCAGAACATGCAGACATCTCTACACAATGTCTACATCCGCAAGTTCAACCTTTTCCACGTAGTTCTGAACACAACGTCTGTCTGAAGAGTAGGTGATAGAGATGACGAGACTGTATGTTTTTGGTATGTGCTGAGACCTTTAACAGATAGCGTAGGTGTTATATATAATATTCATGCTGCACCTCTTGGTTTTGACAGGAATGATTGCTGAAGATGGATACTGTCAGGTTACTAGGGCATAGTTGTAACCCATGTGTAAGTTTACAAGACATCCAACAAGTCATCTACTGTCAGAAATGTGGGGTCGTATAGTTAAGACGCATTCAGCAGCACTGTCCCAGGTTCAATTCAGGCCAGTATTGATACACTGGTCATGTTTTTGAACTCCTCGCACAGAAAAACCTGTAAAGCCAATCCACAATTCCACACCTAAAAATATGCCGCAAACTTTGTGTATAACAGTAGCTCCAGTCTGGTTTGATATTTTCTAGTAAGCTAATCGAAACATCCCGTCTCTCAGATTGTGGATCGACCCCGGCATCCCTCCTGGCCAGGCACCTTTACTGGAAGTCAAACTCCTTTTTTCTAATCCTGCTTCTCATGCGAATATAGCTTTTGTCGCAATTTAGTAAATGCAAAGGAAAAAAGAAAATCAAATAAAACATGTTAATGGTATTTGAACCTGGGGCAATATTCTCGACCGTTGAAGCTCACGGCAATGTCGTCAGTTGTGTAAATCATAGAGTACTCAATAGATTGACATTTTGACTTGATGGTTAAGCTTATAAAATAGGAACTTTGGTGCTCAGAGCAAAAGGAGCATGGGTGGGCCCAAATAGCATTTAAAATTGATTTCTCTGAGTAATGACCGGCTAAACGCACAAACAACTCTTTTCACTATTTATTTGGGGACTACGTGTGTGTCTCTGCGCCTGTTTTCACTGGTTGTTGACAAGACTGCCAAATATCTGGTTTCCTGTGTACCTGGAGTCATTTATTTCCCCCCCCCTTGCTATCCACACACAAACACAAACACACTCAGAACACTGTTTGATGTCTCTTTCTCTTCTTTCTTTCTACCTCTGTATCTCATAAATCACTCAGAAGTAGACACAACTCTTTAAATGACAACGCACAAAAAAAACACATCCACAGCAGACACACACAAACAGAGGTGAGCTAACAGCTTCCATCTGCAGCTTGTTATCACTCCAGCAGCTCATCGCCTCACTGTGGAAACCACACCACTGTCTCACCTCTCACCAACCCCTCTCTCCCCTGCTGTCAATCCAATCGCCACATATTTTCTGTCTATTCGTTGAACCTCTCTATTCTCCATAATGCTCTGTCTCTTCTGTCCATCCATCTTTAACTTCCTCTCTGGTGTTAGCTTGTCTCCCTTGAAGTCGTGTCTAACGATGTCTTCAATTTCGTCTCTCATGCCAGTCCATTCGTCTTCCTGTCTCTCTCCCCTTTGCAGCTAGATATTTCTCTCCTTTTATCCATCTTGTGTCCAAGGAACCCTTACATCTCTGGATCCCCTCACAGCATCCATAGTTAAACTTCTACATCTGTCTCCAATGTGTCTAGTTTCCCTGAGGGCCCAGTCGACGCTTCATGACAAACAGCATCTGTGCCAAACCGATGCGACGCGCAGGAGAGCATCTGGTTTCACTGTACGTGTCAAACCTCAGCAATCGCATCGTGCCGTCTCAGCCACATCAAACGTATGTATGCAGTAATTCATTCTGGGATTTGTTTACATTGCACATTTTCCACTTAGTCGACGCAAGACCCGCTGTCTGTCAAATCTGAGTCAGACGACACGGACCGTAGACCCTTTGCTTGTTTGCATATTTTTGTTAGGTCTCTAGCTTATATTAACAAAGCTTAAAAAAGCCTTCAGATTAAAAGTGTATAGTGTGATGAAACTGAGGGCTGCATGCATGTGTGCTC